GCCCACAAATTTCCACACCGCCCAGCCACACACACACACACACACACACACACACACACACACACACACACACACACACACACACACACACGTAGTTTGTGGCAAATAGAGGAAGCATTATAAAATTAAATTTGAAAGTGTCCTGCACAAGCTTTTCCATGTTAGTGTGGGAGCCTTTTATAGCAACATTGCAAATTCAACACACTTGAATTATACTTTTGCCTTTAGTATGTAAATCAGAGAGGAAAAAAAGCAATATATCTGCACACTAATACAACACAAAGCCCTGTTTTCCTCAATTAAAGACACATTTATGGATTTTTGTAATGATTAACTAATAATCAGCACTGCATAACAAAAAGAACACCTCTTTACAAAGCTGTTACACAGCAATTAGTTGGGTTTCCAATCAATTTTAATTACACTAACAAATCCTTGATTGCACTGCAGGCTTGACAAATTTAATGAATTGATGAAAAAAAGACAATTAATTATAGGTAATTGCAAGTGAAAGGTGGAGTTGGAGCCTGCAGGAGTGTGTATTCTGCTGCAGCCGGTGCTCCAATAAACAAAGACTGGGAATAACAGCAGGTGGAGGAAGAAAACGATCCACAGTTGTACATATGCTACTCACTGGTGGGGACTCAAGGACGTTTGACTAGAGAGGCATGTGCTTGCATTGACCTCAGCTCATGATGCACAGCTGACCCTCTGTGTATGTGTGTGAGGAATTACTCTTCCACCTCTCAGATGACATTTGTATTTACATTTTTGACCCTTTCATTAATCCCACCTTGCATTTAGTTTCAACTTGTGGGTGTGATTAGGACCAATGAACTGACAGTAACTCCATCTTTGATGTTTTGTTTAAATCTGCTCTCCCTGCTGATGCTTTGATAACGCCCTAACTGGGACATTTTCATTCTAATTAGGGCCTCAATTGCTAATTCCATATTGCTGCTATAATTATTACCATGAGATATGCGGGCTCCACTGGAGCGCTTGCATGGAGAGGCGGGTGGGCAGATCTGGTCCATTATTCATTTTGGTGCCCAAACTGTGCCCAGGGGGCTTCCGGTGCATTAAGGAGCTGATAAGATGCTGTTTATCCCCATTCAATGATGTAGTTCTGTATCTTTTATTGTTTGCAACAAAATTGTCCAAACATGCATACAAACACTTTTCTGGAAACAACAGGGTTCATTCATATATATTTCAAATTTGTTATACACTAAATAAATGTGTTTTAACAAGTATTTATCTTTAAATATTCTTAACTTGCCACATGTGCAATTTAAATTAATGTGCGTTAAAATGTCACCTTTATTTTTGTAATTTGGGCAGAAATATGGATTGAAAGCAATAAACATGATTTTTTTTGTTTGTTTGTTTGTTTTGTTTTGTTTTTAAAGAGCATATATCCTGCAGTGTGTCCCCAGCCTCTCCTCACTCTTTGAAGGACGAGGGGGAATACAGGGGGGTTGTTACTGATTTTGTGAGGTAGAGAGAAAATCACCTGGTCCTGAACACCAGCAAGACAAAAGAGATGGTAATTGACCAACAACACAGATGCCCTGTACAGGAAGGGCCAGAGCCGCCTTCACTTGTTGAGGAGACTGAGGTCCTTTGGTGTGCGTGGGGCACTCCTTCGGACATTTTATGATCCTGTGGTGGCATCTGCAGTTTTTTACGCTGTTGTGGGTTGGGCAGGAGGTAGCACCGTCAGGGACAGAAAGAGACTCAACAAACTGGTTAAGAGAGCTGGTTCTGTCCTGGACTGCTCTCTGGATTCACTCGAGGAGGTGGCGGACAGAAGGATGCTGGTAAAACTAACATCCATCATGCATAACCCCTCCCATCCCCTGCATCACACAGTGGTGGTTCGGAACAGTTCTTTTAGCAAGAGACTGTTACGTCCCCATTGTAAGAAGGAGCGTTACTGCAGGTCATTCCTCCCCATAGCAATCAGACTGTACAACACATCACTACAGTGATAAAATAGGTGAAATTATGAGGGACTATGCAATAATCTAATGTGGTGCAATATTTCAGCTTCTGGGGGTGAAATGCATTGTAAATAGGCTCATGTGTAATATTTAGTCTCTACTGCTGTTCCTGATTCTCTCCAGTGCTGCTTTGCCCTGTTTTTAGGTGCCTTTGATTTGCTTATTTGTGCTGTGTAAAATGTAACGTTCTGATGACGCTACTTTATCATCCTTGTGTGTATGGTCCTAATGCTTTGTTGCCTTTATGTAACTTTTTATTTTAAGACTAAGTGTTCTTTGTTACTACGTACTTACGTATGTATACGCCGTGCAGAGTGGCAGCAAGTTACAGCAGCTGTGTCCTCATTGTGTTCTTTCCCATGTTTCTATGAAGTTCTGTTCTTATGTGTCTGTTCTTATGGTGGTGTCTGTTCTTATGGTGTTATGTTGATTGTTCTCTATTGCTGCTGTAACACAGAAATTTCCCCACTGTGGGATCAATAAAGTACCTACCTACCTACCTACCTAACACTTTCCTGTTCATTGTGCATCTCATCTGTACTCACCATTTGTGCTCCCTCTGACCACTTTGCCAACGTCGCCATACAAATCAGACGCCCATAATAACCTTAGGGGCAAGAATTGGAATTGAGGATCGTTTTCTTTCCTCTTTGGGCGCATGCGCAGTGGGGAGCATACTGGTCAGTCTGAGAAGCAGCTGTTCAAGGCTGGTGAAATTCCAACATGGCAGTAGCTGTGGTCAGTGTTTCCTGCGTTAACTTGGGATGGTTTCAGCTCGCACGCAGCCCGGCTTAACCTCAGCACCCCGTTCATCAGCAGAATCCCTCCCCGGGATCGATGCAACCCTAACCCCCCACGTGAGAGTTCGACCTGTGGCTAAAAAACAGGTAAGGAAGGGTAGTCCGTGGATCCGCTGCGTTTACAATTAGACAGTAGTCAGAGCAGACAGCGCGTCTGTAGAGGAGACGAGCTCCGTGCAGCTTTTGCACGCCGCGGACCTCGGATTAATGCATGCGCTGTTTGTGATTACACAAGTTTCTCGGATTGCAAGCGATACCTGAGCATGAATTGCATTTTTTGTGTAATTTTCAAGGAGCGCACCTGCGCCACTGTTAAATCGCAGAGACATGGACGCGTAGGTTGCACTATACGTTCCCTGTTCCTGTGTCGACTGTGCGACACTGTCTAAATGGGGGGGAAAGCCTCTGCTGCGACGTTATGGTTACAACAAGTTACCCTGCCCCTGCGTGCGTGCAGAAAGCGGAGACGGTGTCACCGCAGCATGTGTTTCCCCGCAATTTTTTTTTTTTTTTTTTTTTTTTTTTTTTTTTTTTTTTTTTTACAGCTGGGACATTTTAGGGCGTTCTCAGCAGAATTAACTTGTCTCCAAACAATCCGCACCAGTTGATTTTGGTCCCCTCCCCACCTCTGCCTGTCATACCGGGCTCAACTTTCTAATGAGATGCGTGTAGGTTAGATGCTATTGAGTTGCTTGCTTCAGCATTTGAAGGGCCCAGCATTCAAACCAGTGTCTTATAATGTAAAGCCCCCTTTCCCCGTTTTTATTCAGTGGGAGTTCCCCCCCCCCAAATTAATTCCAATGCTCTCATCTCCTCTCCCTCTTCCTCTCCCTGTTCCAGCACGACATGATCAGCAGCAGCAGCATCTATGGTAGGTAGACTTTTTTATTGTTGTATTAGATGATGTAAAATACACTGATAAGTTTTCGTAGCTTCTGGAAGAGGCTGAGGATAGTGGGTGTATTTATGTGTATATCCACAAAACGTTTACCTCAAATTGACAGTAAGATTGTGTGAATATTTACAGCTTCAGGTTGAATATAAATTGCCTAGTCATTTGTTTTATATAGGGTCAATTTCCAGAATGATAGCTGCCACGTTTAGGTTTCTACAATACACACTGGTAATTAATATGTGGTGACTAATAAGTGTGCTACATTTAAACTACACATGGCTTCATTTTCAGCCATAGATTTTTCATTAAATTACAAATCTGCTAAGAAATATAGCTTAACAATCAAAGCTGCAGGTTAATATGATAAATCATGTAATAATCGTTTTTTTTCTTTTCTGTTTTTTTTGTTTTTGTTTTTTGCTCATTCATGCTCTCTCTCTCTCTCTCTCTCTCTCTCACACACACACACACACACACACACACAAGGTGGTGCAATTTTCCTTTGCTGAAACATAAAACTGTGAAGCCAAAATCAATAATTGTTTAATGAAACCTGGATGGACGAGGCCTCAGTCACAACTGCACATTTCTGATCAGGATTTTCTCATCATTTGCACTTGATTTCATATTTTATAGTTTATTATATTAAAGCTGAATTTAGTGTTGTTGGTAACATTATGATGTCAACAAATTGTGGATTAATAACAGGAAGTAATGACACACTTATACTCACTGTACAAATGTGCTCGTTCAAATTTTAGGTATTTAAAAAAAAAGATTTCTAGTTGTTTTCTGCAGGAAATTGGTGCCACATTTGTGCAGAACAATGGTGAATTGTTGTAATTGAAAATAGCCATCCCACCCTGTGTGCAAGTGCAGCGGGTGTAGTTTTCTAATGAATAATCAGGTTTGATAGCACAATGTGCTGTCTGTGCGCACACAGGGCTGAAGCTCCACTGTTACACATTCTTGGTTTGTGTAGCAGTTATTAGTTAGGCCTCAACCTTTCACCTTTGATCTCTTTCTCACACAGTTATTTGCTTCATGTCATGTGCTGTTTCCTACTTTCTCTTGCTGATGCACTTGTGTGTGTTGGTTTTGCTCTTATTGTAAATGTCTGCATGCTCATTTCACTTTAGACTGCATGTGTCCATACTGTCAGACTTAATGAAAATCTAGAATGTAGGCTAATAATGTTTCTTTTTGAGCCTCAGGTCAACACCTGATATACTGATATACTGTAGAATTACATATAAGATGTTTGCACATATTTTAATATGCACACTATTTCTGCAGTTTTTTTTTTTAACTTTAATTTAACTGACTGACTTAAATTTATGAGGGATATTGAAGAATTCTCCTGCAATGGTCAGCTGTTTTTTTTTTTTGAAAGAGAATTAACTTTCTAGAGGAACATATGGGGACTGATGGGGTGCATGAGGAAGCCTAGGCGCAACCATGCACATCCTGGTTCCATGTGTAATGTAAATCATGTAGCTACTCAGAGGTTTGGTTTTTTTTCCCTCTAAATCTATTTGTTTGCTCCAGTCCTCGGCTTAAGATCCGTCCCTGTGCATCTGCTGTCTGCGCAGTGTTGCAGTGACAGTAGCAATAATCCCCCTCATTATACACATAACGGATTGTCTCACATCCCCCAATGCAGCTAATAGGGACAGAGAGAGGAGAGATAATAGGAACAGAAGAAAAACTGCTTTACAAATAGGCACCCCTTTACTCTGCCTTTATTTATCTAAATACAGACGTCTCCCTCAAATGAATAGACAGAGCCAGTGTGCTGCGAGGGTAGCTGAGCTACTCCCAGTGGGACCGTATAAATAAATTATCCTGACACTTTCTATCAGTCTGTAATGTTTACCATTAAATGCTGTTTCACCATCCCGGAGTCACCGGCGTGCGATCCAGCCTGCCCCGTGGGACTCCTGCCAGATGTGAGGCGATGTGGGGAAATATTGTGCTTTTTACATGCAGGGAGAAGGAGAGAGAGAGAGTGTCTGCCGTGCCCATATCAGTGGATTTCTCCTGTCTGCATGTCCTGACAAAAGGGGCCTCTTCAAACGAGATCCAGGCAGGGTTGTCATCTTTTAGCAAATATGTTAAGTGTTATCTTTTGTGCTCTCGGCTCACCAAGCAGAGCCGGAACCCCGTGGGAGCATGCAAATAGAACAAATCCCTCTCAGACCTGTCTGTTTCACTCTCTCAATCTCCACCCCACCCCCTTCTTCTTTTCTCCACGTTTGCTCCACGGTGTGTCAGCCTGTCTTGTCTCTTTGCTCGCTCATCTATTTCCCTTTTTGTACACTTCTTTCCCCTCCACTTTCTCTCTCTCTCTCTCCCCCTCTCCATCCTAGAAGACAGTGCTGCTGGGCCTGGGTGTCAGCTAAAGTGTAGCGAGGCTGTGTAAGTCTTTGTGTTTCCCTGCATGCTTGCTGACAGCCCCTTCCTCGCTGATCTTAAAGTTCCTTTCCCTGAGACGGCAGGCAGCTGTCAGTAGCACTGTTGCCCGGGACGTGTTTCTCCATAGATGAGCGGATGTCAGTTCCTTAAAATCCTCAACACTGTGATCTACTCAGTCCTTCCCTCTTTCATTGGTACACCGGCTGCTTTTTTTCCCTTTCAAATGTAAGTTTGGGGAGTTTTTGTGGAGGTTTAGTGTTGAGTTTTTTCATGTTGCAGTTAAACCTTTTTTTCTCACACACACACAGTTTTATGCCGATTCTGCCCTCCCATCCATCTTCCAGCACTGACTGGTTATTATCTAGTCAAACTCTGATGGGTGTGCTTAAGGCGAGGCTGACTCATGGGTGGAATAATACTTAATGTTTTGCACCCTGTTGTAACCTGTGATGATTAATACCAAAATAATGTGTTTTTTATGTATACTGGTTGAAAGAATTGGTTTTAGATCATGGTTCTGTGTATGTGAATTTTAATAAATGCTCAGAAATCTTAAAAAAAATCACAAAAGTATAGTCCTAGATAATAAATTTTAAATGCATTTCAAATAATCTGTAATGTCTAGAAGGTTTTTAATTAAAAAGTAAAGAAATTAAATGAATGTTAAAAGATTGTAAAATAAAAAGTCTAAACTGATCAGACAGCAATGTCAACAAATTTCCAGACTTCCCACTGAATTCATTTTTATGTTAATTCTGGCTTTAAACACATTTCTTTGAACTCTGAAATATCCCAGAATGTTTGAAGTTTCTTCATTTTATGTAATGCATCAGTTTCATAGGTTTTAATCAAAGCTGTAGCTTCTCCCCCCCTCACTCCTACGTTCTTTGCCCGGCTCACCTCCCTTTACTTTTCAGCACAATCTCCACCACCCATGGCCCGGATTCTGTGGCAGATATTAAAACATTCAGCTTGTAGAAGCGTTAAATATGCTAAGGACATATTAAAACAGAAAAAAAACTTCCACTTTGGAATATTCCACACCATTAACCCTCAATAGACATGGCAGCATGCAGCTTATCCTTTACATTGTGCCTTCAAATGAGAAGGCACCATTTCTAATTAAGTTATTGCCATGGAAGTCTTAAGTTAAATTGTGCATTGATATGTGGAGAAGCTCGGCAATCATTTGGCCTGACGATGGAAGCCGACAAGAGCCTTTTTTCCCTCACAGGGGCCAAAGAAAATGACAGCTACAGTATGAGAGAGAAAGGATCTGACTCTAATCTCTTGCCGCTGCTGCTCTTCTGTTGACGGCTCTGGCTGAATGATCTGATTTTGTTAACAGCAAGCCTTGGCTGCAGTAGATAGAAGCCGTCTGCAGCTCAGTTTGAACGTCTTGATTAGTGAGGCATCCTGCGCAAGTGGCGAGTAAGTTGGGCACTTTTGTGTCTGTGAGGTGTGTGTGTGCACATCAATGAAGAATGAGGCAGAATTTGTGTATTTGAGCTTGGCAGGCTGCCCAGGGAAGGATACAAAGGATGTTGAGTGGCTGGGCGTGTGGCACAGCATCAGTGAGCTGCCTGTGGCCTCTGGGGGACAAACTGGGAACAAGAGCATTAGTAACTCTAGCTAAATAGCTTCAGATTTGTCTGTTGAAATACTGCATCTAGCAGTTATTTTAGTTATTGATTAGTGTGCTAGTTATTTTTTCAGTTTATTTTCAAAATATTTCAAAATTAAATTACAGTCACAATTTGAGAACCCAAGCCGACTTGTTCAACTGTCTTGTTTTGCCTGAACAAAACCCAAAGATACTTAATTTAATTTCAGGGTTTTCTCTAGGTTTTCAGATGTTTTTTTCTGTGGGTGCAGGGACTAAGAAAATCCTAACTGAATATATCCAATCAGCTGTTTGATTGGCTTGGTGATACTGCCAATCGTACAAACGTTCATCCAAACCCTGATTGTTGATTGACAGGTTATTCCTGTTGCCAGCTTATATTTCATTTAGAGAATGAGTCACCTCTCTGTTATTTTTCAGTGCATGTAACTCACTGTTGTTTTACATTTATTTTGATATGTCATCTTTTTACATTCTTTCAGCTTAGGCACTCTATAGTAACACACTGTGGGTACTGTGCATAAGCCTGGAAGGGAAAGCTAAACAGAAGCACTAAATACTCCCATTTTCTCCACTATTTTTGCTTGATAAATGACTGACATTATTACTAAAAAAGTTTTAAAGTAACTTGTCTAAAAGTTCATAGTGATGGAAAACAGAGCACAAAGCAGCAAATTCTCATATTGGAGGAACTGGAACCTGAGAGGTTTTTGCTGTCTGTGTGTTTGCCTACTCAAGCAAAGAAAGGTGTTTGTATGCCTACCTGTGATTACGTTTGTGTATGCTTATGTACTCTGTGTGAGTGAATTTGTGTATGGGCCAAGTTTCTCCTCTGGAAACAGGCATATACGCAGCATTAGGATGTTGCTTGTACTGTACAACTCTGTTGGCAGGATGGACACATGTGGTAGATAGTTAATGATCGCATGCAGCATATAATGAGATCCTACTCTCCGTCTGTTTCCCCTACCTGGCATCATGCATTAACCATACAAGAGGAAAAGGAAGCACGCATGGTATTGACTTTTGAGTGGGTGTCTGCTTGTCCGTTGTTGGTTTTGTTTAGCACTCAGAGGTCACCATGGCTGCAAGCACCACACATTTATATCATGTTTTTTGTTTTATTTTGTTTTTTTGCCATTTTTGTAAGACAAGAATTTGTCCTCATCCACACCTCTTGAGCTCTGTTAAATGGTTGTAAATTGATTTTGGATCTGTTGCAATGTATACACTTAACAAGCCAAATGGGTTCAGTTTGTGGGTTAGTTTGTTTATACAGAAGATTATTCTATTAATGTATTCCACACACTCATAATCCACAGTATGGTGTCAGAAGGAGGGAGGCATTGGCAGTGGTCCATTTTCTTGCCCACTAACATATATTTATCCTCTTCACTACACAATCCTCTAGGCTGCTGCACTCTCCCAGGGGGTCCCAATGACATGCTTACTAATGTGTGATTTGGAAAAGGAGTGCTATTGTATCCCCTAAATCTCACAAAGCACTGTATGATTTGCCCATTGTCATTAAATCGCTTTGCTTGTGCCAAGTACTTGCATCTCACAGAGGCTTAATGCTTTGAGGGTTTCAGGGACAGCTTCGAGTTCCTCTTTTGTTGATTTCGGGGAAAAGTGCCAAGACTGCTGCGTTGAATATTGTTTTGAGTATGGAGGAGGGAGGGAAAGATGGGCCATTGCCAAGCAACTCCATTGAGCCCTGTGAATAGGCCATTCATATTTAGGAGAATCACCCAGATGCCATATTGTTGGCTCAACAACGAAAAATATTCTCCAACAAGGATAGGATTGTAA